CAAGTTGGGTTGCTCAGGGGATGGGGAGGGGAGGAGAGGGGAGGAGAGCTTTCTAAGCTAAAGAAACAGCAAGAGAGTAAGAGCGGAGGCCCTCAAGTGTGACGAGGAATTGAAACTGTGTCTCCCATATAGGTGAAAAAATATGTACTGAGAACTTCCCCAAGTGAAGCTTTTTTTACCCAAATAGGGGACTTTCTGCTGGGTTTAGTTATCAGATAGCAGAGTGGCATGTATTTGCTTTTTATGATCAAGGTTTGGCTGGCCGCCTCTGGGTGTGGGTGTGGGTGCAGGTGGGAAGCTGGGCAGCCCTGGGCACCAGGGTCTGGGGAGTGATCTTTGCATTTTCGCATCTCAGCACAGCCCACTTTCCAACTTAGTGCCTTCCAAAGAACCATGTTTGTGATCCATGGAATCTTTATTTTCTTTAAGTGAAAAAAATATGTCCTCAAGATGGAACATTTCATCAGCAATCCTAGGAAAGTAGAAATAAATACAGCAAAGTAAAATTGAAATCCTTTGACAAGTTCTGCTTTGTGCCAGATGATCTGTTTCTGACAGATAGCCATTCCTTAAAGGAAACTTTTTGCTCATCCACTTTCTTAAATGCTTTCTGAGCAGGTCTGGAGACCTCTCCGCTGCTACTTCAGTTTTAGAACACAAACTGCCTTCTCTAAAGACATATGCTTACAATTTGCAACTTTGTGTCCTGCAAATGCTCTGGAGTATGGTTAGATACTGAAACCACTTGCCTGTGAAGATGCATAATATAGGTGTATCTGGTGACCCCCTATTTAATGACATGGATGTATATGTCACTGTTCCCTTCACTGTTACCTTTTTCCCCCTATTTGACTCCTGTCCTCTTTTTAAATGGTGGGCACACTTTTGCCCTCAAAATTCTGTTTCATCACATTCTCTGAGTTTGTAATGCACAGTTCATCCTCAGAAAAGAAATGTGACACAAAGGATAATGATATCTGGCATCTTCTCGTGGGCTGGTTCTGTGATTGAATTCTTACCTGCAAGGTTTGTGTCTGTTGTGGACCACCCGGTGGGAACCAGCTTCTCCATGAGCCCCTGAGATCCTCCTGAGAAGGAACTGGGTCTTCCTTTCCTATGAATCTTTGGCTCCTGGCTCACGATAGATGTTCAATAAATGTTTAAGTGACCAACATCAAAGTCCCACTCATGCTGCTGTAGGAAAACATCCATTCCTAGAAAAAATAACATCTCTAGTGAGAATTACTCCACAGGCATGAGGATTGGTACGAGTCCTGGACACAGGGGCAGCCCTCAGGAAAGTTCTTTAGTTAGGAGAGTCGATCCTTTGTGGTCCTCACCACTCAACTACATCCACTCTCTAGTGTCCCTGCTCCCTCCTTCAGCCATCGGATCTTTATCTCTGGCTTCTCACTGTCTGGCATGAGGAAGCACTCATGCTCCTGATTGTTCCATCAAAATGAGTAGCTCCCGTCTCCCCTCCCCTCAAGGCCCTGCCATGGGCTTTCCAAGATGGCAGCAAGCTAAGTAGAAGCCATGGGCCATGCATGGTCTGCCCCAATGTGCTTTTCCAGCCCCAGATTTCTCTCTCTGCCCAACACAGGTTCCAGGTAAGGAAGGAAAGCCTTACCCATGCTGTTCCCTCTGCCTGATATTTGCTCCCCCCTTCCAGTCCTCCCTGGCTCAGTGACTTCCAGCTCATTCTTCAAGGTGTAAATCAAAATGCCTTCTGCCGAACACCGGTTGTCACGCTTTGCTCTGACCCCCCAGGGCAGTGTGACGCTCTCCCATGAGCACACTTCCTGCATTACGTTTCATGTGTCCATTCATGGGATTATCTTCCATGTGAGACTGTGAGTCCTGTCTTTCAGCATTGATTTCCTAAAGCCTAGCACATCCCACTGGGACTGCAGTTGATTCCTTGAAAGATGGGAGGAAGGGGAAGGAGGTGAGGGCAGGGGCAAGAGAAGGAAAGGGCGGCCTCATTCCTTGTTTGTTCCAACACTGGCTGAGGTGCATGTTGTGGCTGAGATTAAAAGGAGAAGAGCGGGAAAACGGAGGGTTTGGGCCTAGAAGGGGTTAAAATTTAAGCTTAGTGGGCCTGAAGTCTTCTCCCTCATCATTTAGTGAGATGTCTCTTCCCGGGTTTGGGACACACAGAGCAAGGGGACTCGCTGACACCTGCCTTGCTCTCTTTGCCCCTGGCTGCACTGGAATTGGGGTGAAGTTTTTCAATTTAATTCAGTTTGTAGCATGAGTTAGATCAGTCAGAGTCCAGTGGTCAGAGTATTACAAGAGCCTTACCGGAATGGTGAGTCTGAAAAAAACAAAGGGCTACGTGGTCTGTGTTGATGTCACTTTCCAAAGCAGCGATCACTGTTGTCACGAGCAACCTCAGGCCTGACTGGTCCTCACCCACGTATTCCTGACACAGCCAGTGGCTATGTGCTGGGAGGATTCCCTCCACACAGTGATGACATTCAGTTAAGCCACAGTTTCCTTGACCCGGGAGGAAACCCGTGTGGTTTGGGGTTGGGGGCGTGGATGAGCAAGCCCAGATTTTTTTCTCCTTGCCCCGTGGCTTTAAATTGCAACTTCTCTTTTAATTTTCCATTATGCAGTGAATACATGTGTGCCAGAAGTGGACAAATGTGTTCCGTCTGGGAGGGTGATCCCAGACAGCAATAAATTAAAGTCTGTGTACAGACATGCCAAAAATGTGGCCGCGTGGTGGGGTGTCCCTGGGACCAGTCACCTCCTCCACAGTCTGCTTGGTGGCTGCAGGCCTTTGGCCTGACGCCTCTGTCAATAGATTTTGCTTTGTATTTGGAAACTGTCTTTCCATCAAGTCGCCGCAGAGGCAAGATGGGAGGGTTGCCTGTGAGGCTTTGCTGGGCACGTCTGTCCCAGGCAGCCTCGGGGAGCTTCTAGGACAGTGTCCTCCCAAGGGCATCATTCTCTTTCCTACACCAGAACAGCAATGACCTCAAAGCTGGTTCCCTCCCAAACTAAAGCACGGCCCAAGAAAAGCCTCCCCGCTCTTTCAGGGTTGAGCAGATAAACTACCTATAATGCTTTAAAAAAAAAAAAAAAAAGAAAGAAAAGAAACAACATTTTTAAGCTTACAGGAGTAATACATGCTTAATGCACACAACTTAGACGGTAGAGTGGGAAAAAAAAGCCACCCATAATCCCACCTTCAAAGATACATACTGTGACTGTTTTAGCATGACTTCTTTCAATATTTTTCCATGCCATGCTACCCTTTTAAACATGCAAAACCCCTTTTAAAGCTGTCAGACTCCGGGGTGGCTCAGTCGCTTAAGTGTCTGACTTCAGCTCAGGTCATGATGTCTTTCTTCGTCTTGGGAGTTGGAGCCCCACATCGGGCTCTGTGCTGACAGCTCAGAGCCTGGATCCTGCTTGGGATCTTATGTCTCCCTCTCTCTCTGCCCCTCCCCTGCTCACGGTCTGTCTTTCTCCGTCTTCCAAAAATGAATAAATGCCATAAAAAAAAATAAAAAAAATAAAAAGCTGGCAGACTCCAGCTCCCTTAGCTGTCCCTCACATTATCCAATTAGTGCTTTCCCCTAAGTACTGGAAACTTTTACTTATTCCACATGAGAGAGTCCAGCTGGTGGAGCGCTAGCGCCTCTGACTCCCCATGCTCTTCTGAAGAAGCCAGCCACAGAGGGAAGTGGCCTGGAGACAAGGGAAGGACAAAGTCCTTACATAAGTCGAGCCAGAGAGCCCCAAACGGGAGCACCAGGTCCTTTAGCAGCAGCCCTGCGAATGGAGGGATGCTGCATCCAAAGGGCTCTGGTCTGACCCTGACTTTGATGCCCTTTTCCTTCGGAAAACCTCTACTGCCCTGACCGCATCCTGTCCTGTTGCTAGCATGTGTGGGTGCTCTTCCCTGTCGGGCCAGAAGCAGCCTCTGAACTGCTCATGTGATGATGGTCTCGGGCGCCCCCACACCAATGAGAGGGGTTGGCTGACCCAGGAGGCGATCTTGACATCTGCTTGCTTCCCCGAGAGCCTCCGAGCCCAGCAGGTGCCCAGCGAGTAGCTGTTGATTGACTGATAGGACGCAATTCGAGATGGGTGTTTGTGGCAGGAGTTGTGACAGTCCTGCGACAGGAGGAAAGACTCCCAGCGTTGATGCGGAGCCTCACAGAAGCCCTCAGAGTGGCCGAGAGGAAGCAGGCAATGAGTCTACCAGCCGCTGCCTGTGCCAGCCACACGGCCTCTCCATGAGCCGCACAGTACACAGACCGTGCTTTTTCAGAAAATTATTTTTTCCTTTCTCACTTTCCATGGAAACTCAAAATAGCAACCAAAAAGAAAAAAAAAAAAAACACACAAAACAAAACAAAAAAACAGCTGAGCTCCCTCTCTGCCTGCAAAACCATCCCCAGGCCGTACTGTGATCATAGAGGCCCTGGTGGAGACAGGGTTCTAGATCCCTCTAAAAGAGCTTTCCAACTGGGCACTGCACACTCATGAGGTGAAAGCGGGTTCTGAGGTGGTGTGCTTTCTTCCAGTTGAGAAAAGTGGGTTTCTTCCAGGTCTTAGAGCTCAGCTTGCTGTTGTGGTGACGGTCCCCTTTCACTGTGATGTCGGTGAGGAGGTGCGGACTGCCCAGCAAGGGACGATGTGGCAGAGGGTAGATGCCTTCCAGGGGGACTTTGATTGGAACATTCTTTTCGAGATGCCTCCCAGGGTGTGCTGTTATGCCCAGTCACCGCAGGGCAGCCTGGCAGAATGGGGAAAACTCTGGGCTTGGAATCAGGAAATCCCAGTTCTGGTATCACATCAGGTACCTGAGAGGCTTTGAGCACATTGTTTCACCTTCCCTAGGAAACGTGAAGGGCGGACAGGCTGGTTTCTGAAGGGATATCCTCATCCAGCCTCAGCACTCTGTGCCCCCAGCCCACTCCCAGATTATGTGTACACCATCCCTTTCCATTCCCTGAAAAACCAGGTTGTTTCCCTTTCAGCTGGCAGGGTCGGCTGTCATTGGTTTTGGACTATGGTTTCGGTTTGGAGGCACCATGAAGGACTTCTCATCAGAGGACAAGTCCCCGGAGTATTTCTACATGGGTGAGTGACCCCAGCTTTCTCCTCTAAGCTTTACCAGAGCTGCCCCGGAGGCTTAGGGCAGAACCCGCACCTGGACTTATGGAGGGGAAGTGAGGATGCAAAACCTGACCCCTGTAGACTCCACCTGGCCCCGAGGGTGCAGGGGCCATGTGGCCCTGGCAGGCGAGGACCCTGCACCCCTACCCTGCCCGTTCCTCACATGGATCAAGAAAGACCAGTGTGGGAGGACCAGGACCGACCCACTGTGCTTCTCTCAGCCACATCTCATTTCCAAAGAGTTAGAAGGTTGCCTCTTGCCCTCCGAATGAGGTGGGTGCGCCACAAAATCGGTCACCCGCTTGTCCGTCTGGGCTGATGGGGTCCCTGCCGAGGCAGGTTTTTTTTGTGTGTGATCTGCTATTTTAAATTGTCATAAGAGAGACACAATTCAAAGTGAGGAGACATCTCAAAGTTTGGAGGTGCTCAGTCCATCCCTAACTAGGGCCTTCAGAAGGCAGGGCTCCCTACCCAGGGAAGAGGCTGCCTCCCCCACCCAGCAGGAGGAAAGGGATGAGGGCTTCGAGGGCAGCCTGCAGTTCTGAGACAGTGTGGTCAGTAATCGTGGCTGAGCATTTCCCCGGGTTTAGTCCCTCTGATCTACTCCTCATCCTCTTCTGGGAATGTCCTCACTCTCCAGCCACGTGCACCCAGACTCTAGACTTCAAAAACCTCCAGACCGTTGTCACTGCAGGTCATAGCCCCGTGTGACTGGCCATTTCACGGTCTGTAGCAGCCACACGGTCCGCGTCAGTTGCTGGGGGAGAAGCAGGGCCCTGTGCAAGTCCTTTGCTCCCAGCACGGAGAAGAGCAACGTTCACTGCCGGGCCGGGGGGACTGAGCACCCAGGCTCAGTCCACACCGGGAAGGGCCACCCACAGCTGTGTCACCTCCTGTTCCTGGCACCTTTCGCACACTGCCTCCTCCTGCAGAGAGCAGCCAGATCGGCGAGGATACTTCCAGGAGCAAGGAACAAGAAAACCTACTACAAGACGGGTAACTGTAAGGACACTCCACATTCATCAAATCTTAGATGCAGTCTTTTGTAAAACACACAATTATTTTAAGTTCCACCTCGAGGTGGGAAAGAAGAAATGCTGCCAATTCAGCCATGACCGCCCCTAAAATATGCATGCTGATTTTAGAAACATTAAAGTGTAAATATGTAAAACGTATATCGAAGGCGATGAAACGTGGGGAGGGAAGAGTGGCGGTGGGGAGTCTCGTCTCCAGAGCTAGTTCTGGGTCCAGCAAAGTCATCAAGGAGCCAGGGTTTTTCCGTCTTTCCACCGGCAGTCCTTGGGATAGCCTCAGACACCTCCCCTCGGGTTTAAAAGACAGCCGTTGTGGCTGCACGTCTCATGTCCTCATACGGCAACCTCCAAAAGAGAAAAAAAAAAGAAGTTTCACCTCGCGTGGCCCCTTTTAGGGATGAATGCCACCTTTGTCAGAAGACCCCCAGCAGACCTCTCCTCGCAGCTTATTGGCCAGGACTGTACCGTGTGTTCCAGCCTAAGCCAATCACGGCCGAGAAGAGAACTACTGTGACTGGCTCTCTGACTAATGGGGAGGCACCCTGGGCTTGGGAAGGGGCCCAGGCTCCCCGGAGGGCCTCTGACCCTTGGCCAAAGGCAGAGTTTTGTGCCAAGGACGGAGCGGAGGAATCTGCCATCGTGCTTAGCACCGAAATGCTCTTTTCCACTCACGTGGTTTCCAGGGAGTGCACGCCCGTCCAGAGCCAGCACGCACATTTAACATATTTCTCCTTGAGGCACTCCTGGCTCTGAAAACCTCGTCTCCATCCCAGGGCAGGCCCCAGTGCCCCAAGACAAAGTTCGGCCTGTCCTTGTCCTGTGCCACCTCCCCGGGGATGCGCAGAAACAGTCAGGGGAGGGGAGCAGAAGGAATGAATCTCCCTGCCCCCTCCCCACCCCCATATGCTGCTGGTAGTCCAGGACCTGCTTATTTCATACTTGTTCCCCGCGATGTCTGACTCGGTTCAGCATAGTCACACCTCAGCACCCGCTGGATTAGCCAGCGTGGTTTGATCCTGTTGTCCTGGGATTCTTGCCTCTTAGACATGTGCAGTAATAAACAGCAGACAACAATCACAAGCAAACTGACGAGTGGCACAAGCATAACCACTGAATTTGGAAGTAGAAGGGGCGCCTGGCTGGCTCAGTGGGGGGAGCATGCAACCCTTGATCTCGGGGTCATGGGTTCAAACCCCATATTGGGCATAGAGCCTACTAAAAAAAAAAAAGACGAAAAAAAGAGAAAAGATTGTGTGCGAACAGTGGTGGTGTATGTGCCTGTGACTTTAGCAGTCACATGAAACCAGCGTCACAGATTTAGGAGACACTTCTAATAGCCACCTGGCCGACCCAGTGAGAAGAACATGCTACTCTTGATCTCAGGCTCATGAGTGTGTGCTCCACGTTGGGCCTAGAGCTTACCTTAAAAAAGGAGGAGAAGAAGAAGAAGTGAGAGAAAGCACCAGGGGCCGGCAGGACAGTCTCAGGTGGAGGGGGGCTTGAACGAGGCCTTGGAAGACAGGTGGGTTTCAGACAGACTGAATGAGTTGGGGAGAGCTTTACTCATGACTCGGAATTAGCACTGGCAAACATAAGGCAAGCAGTTACCCATCATTTCCCTCTCCTGGGGAAGTGATGGCTAATTGTTCCGGCTGCTCTCTTACCACAGTCTTCCTAACCTAGCCCCTCCAACCAACTATAGCTGATGCCCAGGGTCAACAATATTTTCTCTTCCTACTCTGAAGCCAGTAGTTACCTGGTGGCGTAACATGACATCCGTCCCAATAAAACAGCGGAAATCTTTTGCTCTTGAAATCCAGGCACGCAGTGGTTCAGGGTTATTAACATTCAGTCTGTCTTCTCTTCACGTGCTGTTGGCTTCGCACTGGCACCCTATTTATCCCCTCTTCCTCGGGAGGGACTCTCAAGACTTTCCATCAAAAGCTGCATTTCTGCCTTCAAGTGGAAGCTGGGGGGAGCCCGCCCTTTGCTAGAACCAAAACATGGGAAACATCAACCAGTTCACTTACAGGCAGACCTTCTCCTTCAAGGTGTTTGGCAATAAGTAACTGCCTAATGCCCAGCCACCTACCTACCTCCTCACCAAGTTTGAGGTTGACAGATGTATATCTCTATAATGCAGTTTCTGAGCTTGAACTGGAAATTTTCAGCACCAGTGAAGAAAACCCATTTTAAAAGGTCACGAAGGCCTGGGTTATGTGAAACACATGTACGAAAAGCTGTCTCCCTTTCAATGATGATAAGCGTCTGGTTATCTAGTGATCTCTTCCTGGCTGTTTTAATTTGGGGATTTCATCAACTGTGGGTTTATGCAAACATAGGTATTCATTCAAGCAGGAGTGCCTCTATTCTTTCCATTTTTTTAGAGGTTTCTCCATTTGGGAAAAAAATATAACCTATTCATGGATGCATCACCCAGCATCCATGTAGACTGTAGAGTCGTGGGCACTGGAGTCACACAAAAAAGGATGAGAACGCTGTACTTTCTCCCACGTATCTTTGCAACCTATTCGAAAAGACTCACGGAGTTAACAACTCAAATTCTAATGGAAACTAGCACGTAAATGCCAGCTAAGTGGTATTTGCAGTGGGTGAATCAGGGGGCATTCTAAACTGGTGAGGCAAGGATCTGATGTAGGTTTGAAAGACCAGACTGTAATCAGTAAGTGGAAGCAAAATGAGGACGGTGAAGGTTGTAGGGCAAGACTGCACAAGGCATGTCCACAGGACAGTGACCAGTGAACCCAGGCTGGGCAGAGAACTCTGGTTGGAGTGTAACAGGTTGGGGCAAGGTGGGAAGTAGGACTCGAAGGGCCAGGGAGGGGGCGCCTGGGTCACTCGGTGGGTTAAGCATCTGAATCTTGATTTCAGCTCCAGTTATGTTCTCATGGTCTGTGAGATTGAGCCCCACGATGGGCTCTGCACTGACAGTGAGGAGCCTTCTTGGGATTTTCTCTCTGCCCCTCCCCTGCTCATGCGCTTGCTCTCTCTCTCTCCCCCCCTCAAAATAAATAAATAAACGTTAAACAAACAAACAAAAAAAGAAGTGCCAGAGAGGGAGGAGGACAATCACAGAGGACCCTGAATGTCAAAACTTGTTAATTTGGTAAGCAGTAGTGGAATAATTCAGGGTTTGGGGGAGGCATGATCAGCGCTGCGTTTGTTTTTAAGTTTATTTATCTTGAGAGAGAGAGAGAGAGAGAGAGCACAAGCAGGGGAGGGGCAGAGAGGGAGGGAGAGAATCCCAAGCAGACTCCATGCGCAGAGCCCAGCGCGGGTCTCAAACCCATGAACTGTGAGGTAATGCCCTGAGCCGAGATCAAGAGCTGGACGCTCCACCAACTGAGCCACCCAGGTACCCTGGCAGGTCATTTTAAAGAGATTATTCTGGCAGCGGCAGAGTGAGAGGGGAGATAGCCCATGCTAGGTTATTGACATAGGCAGACATAGGACATAACCCTTGGGGGTTGTCAATAGTAGGGACTGTGAAGAAAGAGACAGGCAGATAAGAAATGTTATTAAACGTTATTATTAAGCATTATTAAAGTCAGGAATAGAAAGAATCAAAATGACAAAAGATATCAGTGATAGAAGAGTCAAGCCTAGAAGTAATAATTAATGATTTTCAGTGGAAACTTGAGCTGCAGAAGGAAGGGATCTTGCTCAGAGAGAGGGGGAGGGATGTGGACCTGAGGTGAAAGCCAGTCTCGGGGAGCAGCCTGTGTATGTTGTCCCGGAAACAAAGTGCTGATAGCAATTTCACAGGTGTACATTTGGGGCCAACAGAAGAGAACCTTTTTAATGATTTTGTAAACCAAAGAAGCTGAGCAGATTTCCACAGATAGAAGTGAGCTTTCCTCTACATCAGTATTTAACCACGAACGTGGCAAAAATCATAATGGAGTGATT